ACACTAAGTATGGGTGTCATTCACATTAGTTTATGAAGACATATTTAATATAACTTCAAAAAATTGATGACATCACGACATCCTAATACTGATAACATTCTGTTTTTGTATTTGTGTACATCAGAAAAAAAGAATATTTCCATAATACCGAACAATGTAACCCACGCCCCCTAGCCCCCCTCCCCCCCTCCCCCCACACACACACATATGCACACAGCACCATCACCCACCATCACCCACCAACATCCACCCACACACACATACACACACACACGCACAAACACACACATAGTATACATTACACAAGTGTGATCTCATTGTGTAAGATGACGTTTTCAGTGTGCGTTTACGTTTTCCATGAATTATGTATAATCGTTACAAAAGTAAAAGCTCATCCTGGATGTAATTATCTGTTAGTAGCTGGTCACGTGTTAAATAAATGAAATCTAAAAAAAGTTGATTTTAACATTTTAATACGATTCAATAATAATTTTTTTTAAATGTTGATAGAAAAAGAAAAGGTAATACATACATCTACTGTTCTTTTCACTCGCAAATTAAAAACTAACCTTTCTAGTCATTTTTTTATAATATGTAGTCTTTGATCAAGCGAAGACAGGAAATGTGGCGTAAAATCTAATTTGCATATTCAAATAACTCATTTAAATATGTTGTACAATTTGGACATAGTGACGTTTTAAATGTCCCCTTTTGTGACAGACTCTCGCCCACCGTCCTCCCTTAAGTATTTTTCTTATATTGGTCTCATGAAATCGAACATGTGGGTGTAGCGTCATTAGCATACACGGTGCTGATTCACTTAAAATTCAATGCAACCTTTAAAAGCAACCTATCGAAAGGTATTCACATTTAAAATAACCAGCTACGAAGCAATGTTTTCGAAAAAAATTAAAAGGAAAAACAAAGCTGAAATATAGGCAGATTTTGAAGCTAATGGGTTCTGGTGTAGTGAATCTGTTTTACATACGTTCAATATACGTTACCTTTCTCATGATACAAAACGATATCATCTAAACATTGTTAAAAACAATTAACTGAACGAGTGTGGAAACCGAATTCGATTGTCACAATTTACAAAATTAAATACCCGACATTACTTTGCTGTCTGATTCCGTTAGTATTCTTAAAGTGGCATATTTTGAAATGAATGGTTTGAAACACCGCGCGTAAGATTTTTTCCTGTTGTATATATACAGAATACAAAAGCAGGATTTCAACACGTCTTCTACGCGAAGCCAAGTGTGATTTTCCTGGCCAGCCTGGGTTGTCACATGAACTTACTTAGTTAGCGTAAATTGCATCCGGTCGATATATGGTATGATCTAGGGACACTAAGTATGGGTGTCATTCACATTAGTTTATAAAGACCGGATGCAATTTACGCTAACTAAGTAAAAATTCAATAAACGGATTAAAAAAGCTTGTTGGAATCACGCATATAGATTAACATCATGCACAGAAAAGAACGTAAATAAATTGATAAATACCACAGACTAAAACAAAGCTTTACAAACTACACAAAAACCTCAACAGTGTATCGAAATTCAGCAGACCGTAACGTTCGACTTTGTAACGGCGATTAGGATATAGGGACAAAGAGAACACTACCTTTGGGAGCTTTGTTCATGTGACAACCCAGGCTGGCCAGGAAAATCACACTTGGCTTCGTTTAGAAGACGTGTTGAAATCCTGCTTTTGTATTCTATATATATACAACAGGAAAAAATCTTACGCGCGGTGTTTCAAACCATTCATTTCAAAATATGCCACTTTAAGAATACTAACGGAATCAGACAGCAAAGTAATGTCGGGTATTTAATTTTGTAAATTGTGACAATCGAATTCGGTTTCCACACTCGTTCAATTAATTGTTTTTAACAATGTTTAGATGATATCGTTTTGTATCATGAGAAAGGTAACGTATATTGAACGTATGTAAAACAGATTCACTACACCAGAACCCATTAGCTTCAAAATCTGCCTATATTTCAGCTTTGTTTTTCCTTTTAATTTTTTTTTCGAAAACATTGCTTCGTAGCTGGTTATTTTAAATGTGAATACCTTTCGATGGTTGCTTTTAAATGTTGCATTGAATTTTAAGTGAATCAGCACCGTGTATGCTAATGACGCTACACCCACATGTTCGATTTCATGAGACCAATATAAGAAAAATACTTAAGGGAGGACGGTGGGCGAGAGTCTGTCACAAAAGGGGACATTTAAAACGTCACTATGTCCAAATTGTACAACATATTTAAATGAGTTATTTGAATATGCAAATTAGATTTTACGCCATGTTTCCTGTCTTCGCTTAATCAAAGACTTCATATCATAAAAAAGTAATACACAATGACTAGAAAGGTTAGTTTTTAATTTGCGAGTGAAAAGGACAGTAGATGTATGTGTTACCTTTTCTTTTTCTATCAACATTTTTTTTTTAATTATTATTGAATCGTATTAAAATGTTAAAATGAACTTTTTTTTAAATTTCATTTAATTACACGTGACCAGCTACTAACAGATAATTACATCCAGGATGAGCTTTTGCTTTTGTAACGATTATACAAAATTCGTGGGAAATGTAAACGCACACTGAAAGCGTCAGCTTACACTGTAATACAGGTTATCTAAAGGAAATAAAAACAATGAATACAAACTTCGCTTCCCCAGTAAGAGATCACACTTGTGTAATGTATACTGTTTGTATGTGTGTGTGTGTGTGTGTGTTTGTGTGTGGGTGTGTGTTTGTGTGTGTGTTTGTGTGTATGTGTGTGAGGGTGTGTGTGTGTGTGTGTTTGTGTTGAATATATTGTTCACACTACGAAGTTGTATAATAAATCTGTAGACAGGTGTTTACAAGAGACCGTCGTGTATTATTTACATAAACAAGATCACATTGAGATTGGGGAGGCGACTCACATATGTAGATTACAAATTATTGAAATGATGGTCCCCCCGGACTTGAGCTTTGCTTAAGACCGAAATTGCTTAAAGATGTTGTCCTTTCAAGTTCAAACACCGGTGTTGTATATTTGTGTAAGTAGATTGTTATATGAGATATTGAATGACAATGATTGTTTTTAGTCTACCATCATCAGATGACAGACGGTTCAAATCGCCTTGAACCTGGCGTCCGCCGTCCGTCTGCCGTCCAACCTCAGCCGGCAAATAATATTGTTATCGCTTAATCATTAAGAAGTACTTTTTAGACATTTCAAAAAAAAAAAAAATTCGTATGGAGATTTCTTTTGGTTATTAGTTGTGCTCTCTCAATTTTCAGGCTTTTTTGTATTTTGTGTATAAAAGCTTTTTATCGTCAATTATAAGGGCAGTATTAGATGGATATTTCTCAAATCACATAAGAAATTTAACGTTTGTCCATTGGCCTCATTAGTATGACCGTATTTCATGCGTACTGCGCATGTCTCTGTGTGGAGTTGCCGCCATCTTGGAATAAAGCGATAAAATGCGCTCTTATCTGATCTTAGTTCAGTCATTTGACTAGTTTTGTTAAACAATTAGGTCTTCCGAACATACCGAAAAGGTTTCCGAATGTCCATTCTAACTTTCGAGACTGACTAAAATAAACATTACTTATGTAGGTCCCCCTTGGTCCGCAGTTGTGCATTGTCCACTTCAGAAATGATCGGAGGTAAAACGTTGGACACGGAAACGTCGTATTTGAACAGGGAATCTTTTTTATCGTTACCATCTATCATTATCTATATCAATAAATGATTCCACTATGAACAGCTACCATGGCAAGCTAGTTAGACTTGTAAATAAACAACAAAGGCTCAATATGAATTGAAATTGGCCGTTCTTATTAACGACGTATATATATAAATGCACATATGTAAACTCTCATGAATGTACATCATATACCAAATGTTCCTGTTAACAATGTTATGAAAAAACATTAAACAAGTCTAAGATGGGGGTCAGAAAACGCCACAGATATTTATATCTGACACTACTTATCATCTGTATGTGTCCTTCAACAATCTGCATATCTCTCTTAACTTATTCTTTTTTCTCTAATTTACACACACAGACTACCTTTCCCTCCGGGTACTATAGTACTCATCCCGGGTCGGTGATTTACGGGGTACGCAGTCTTAAATTTCTCAACTACAAGGACGTACGCCGTGACAGACGGAGGGCTATAACGTTAATCCTATTACTGGGCGCGTTCTTCGTGTCCTTCAGTGTGGCCATCTTAGTCTTCTTTGTCGTCATGAATGGTGAGTTGGAGCCACATTAATAAATAAATAATAGATACAGTACAATGTACTCTCTCCTGTCTGATCTTTCTTTCTGTGTTTTATTTCCCACTCTTGGTGTTCCTCTTTCTCTCCTGTCTGATCTTTCTTTCTGTGCTTTATTTCCCACTCTTGGTGTCCCTCTTTCTCTCCTGTCTACTCTTTCTTTCTGTGCTTTATTTCCCACCCTTGGTGTCCCTCTTTCTCTCCTGTCTACTCTTTCTTTCTGTGCTTTATTTCCCACTCTTGGTGTCCCTCTTTCTCTCCTGTCTACTCTTTCTTTCTGTGCTTCATTTCCCACTCTTGATGTCCCTCTTTCTCTCCTGTCTACTCTTTCTTTCTGTGCTTCATTTCCCACTCTTGGTGTCCCCCTTTCTCCCCTGTCAACTCTTTCTTTCTGTGCTTCATTTCCCACTCTTGATGTCCCTCTTTCTCTCCTGTCTACTCTTTCTTTCTGTGCTTCATTTCCCACTCTTGGTGTCCCTCTTTCTCCCCTGTCAACTCTTTCTTTCTGTGCTTCATTTCCCACTCTTGGTGTCCCTCTTTCTCCCCTGTCTACTCTTTCTTTCTGTGCTTCATTTCTCACTCTTGGTGTTCCTCTTTCTCTCCTGTCTGCTCTTTCTTTCTGTGCTTTATTTCCCACTCTTGGTGTCCCTCTTTCTCCCCTGTCTACTCTTTCTTTTTTCCCCACTCCTGGTGTCTCTCTTTCTCTCCTGTCTACTCTTTCTTTTTTTCCCCACTCCTGGTGTCTCTCTTTCTCTCCTGTCTACTCTTTCGTTTTTCCCCACTCCTGGTGTCTCTCTTCCTCTCCTGTCTACTCTTTCTTTTTATTCCCACCCTTGTTGTCCCTCTTTTTCTCCTGTCAATTCTTTCTTTCTGTGCTTTAATTCCCACCCTTGGTGTCCCCCTTTCTCTCCTGTCAACTCTTTCTTTCTGTGTTTTATTTCCCACCTTTGGTGTACTTCTTTCTCTCCTGTCAACTCTTTCTTTCTGTGTTTTATTTCCCACCTTTGGTGTCCCTCTTTCTCCCCTGTCAACTCTTTCTTTCTGTGTTTTATTTCCCACCCTTGGTGTCCCCCTTTCTCTCCTGTCAACTCTTTCTTTCTGTGTTTTATTTCCCACCCTTGGTGTCCCCCTTTCTCCCCTGTCTACTCTTTCTTTCTGTGTTTTATTTCCCACCCTTGGTGTCCCCCTTTCTCCCCTGTCAACTCTTTCTTTCTGTGTTTTATTTCCCACCTTTGGTGTCCCTCTTTTTATCCTGTCAACTCTTTCTTTCTGTGTCTTACATCCCACCCTTGGTGTCCCTCTTTCTCCCGTGTCAACTCTTTCTTTCTGTGTTTTATTTCCCACCCTTGGTGTCCCTTCTTGTGTTGCGGTGACAGTTATCCTGTAAAACAAATAAGCAAACAAACAAATATTTCTTTATCAAGAAAGGTTATGAAACATAAAACGCGTTTATTACTTTTTTAACCCCCATTTTCCCCCCCATTTTTTCCTTTGAAAAATATATTTTTTATCTGCATATTTTTTGATAACACGGCCTCTATAGGCAAGTATACGTGTTTGAGCTGCAAGAATAACATCGTATTTTGATCTGGATCTATGTATAATTAATGTTTTATCAGAATTATAATGATGTCATAATTTATTTTAAAAGAGGAAGGGAATTATTAGCTGAAGTTTTAAAAATAAAAAAATCAATACGTTTGTTTGTACCTATGAAAAGAATTTTGTTTCCTTTATTTTCATTTTTATTAAAATGCCCGAACATTATATCTTCTATGCGTTTAATTTTTTATAAAAATATTTAAACATTTGCACATTTCAGGTTCACAGGAAGCAAAGTTTGGTGAGTTATTTGTATATGAACTTTGTATATATTTCATTTGATTTCAAAGAACTTAACAAAAATGATTCTAATTAGATGTTTTGTCAACATATAACAGTCTGGTATCGAGTGGGCGGCAAAACAAAAACAACAAATGATGATAAGGAAATGAATGAAAAATTCTATTTATCACATAAATTTTCTCTTAAAAATAGTTCATAGAATTAGATAATCGAAATTGGCAATATTCTCAACAGATATCTGGTGACGTCACATTGCATATTGCTTCATGATGCTATGGCGTCACTATGGAACATTACCAACCCATTCACAGCTTCGCAAGGCTTCATTATATATTTGTCATAATAAAAGTGTTACGGGTGTTAAACTGATATTGAGATAGATAGTGTGATAAAAAACAAAATATTTTGTCAAAGCTACAATTCGCTTTTACTGATTTCTACTCTGTATTCTAACATCTGTATTCTTCTGTAGATTATCACGTGGCAAATGTTTCAATGCCTCTGTGGAACACGACGTGGAATAATGAGATGGAGAACGTTACCTCAGACAGTTTCAAAGACATCGCTCTTCCATTTTGTGATGAGGTAATTAAATATATGTCAATTACATTTATGTTAGTAACCAAATATTTCTACTTGGTTGAAAATCGTATGTTCTAGTCTGGATACATGAAAGGGCAAACAAACGTATGTAAGAGACCATGTGGCGTTATACTGTATACTGCAAAAGTTGTTATTTTCGAAGGTAAATTTTTTGTGGTTTTAAATTTCAAGGAAGACATGGAATAAACCATTGTTTCCTTTCTTAATTTCATTAAAAATTTTCGCCATTTTGTTCCATTTCTGGAAAAAGTGGAAAAATAAAATCCCTCGAAAATTGAAAATTTTACAGTATCTTCAAATTGAATTTCCCGTCAGAGAGTTGACGTGGCATAGTGACGTTTGTATGTCTATAATAATAAACATCATGATATTTGTGTCGATTTAAGAATAAAAAAACGTCTGGAGAAGACAGAGAAGTAAATATTGCGATCTATCATGATTACGGTGCATTGAAGTCATTGTGTAAAAAACTGACTTCTCTAGATCCTTTCTGAAACCATCTAACCACTTCCAATGTCATAATTCCAGTCCTATCCGCCCCTACCCCATTCTGCCCCACTCCACTATCTTGGTCGTCTCCACTAACAACAGCCCTTCTTGTAATAATTCCCTTCCCCAACCCCTGCTATAGCTCCACCGACCTGTCTAACCCCCTACCTCTTCCATCTCAACCCTTGTTCTCTCCACGAACAGCACCTTTTGTTATGTTACCAATGAAGTATGATAATAAACATGATATAGGGAAAAAATCGTTGATCTCTAGGTCAACGGAAATATGAAAGGTCACTCAGAATTGTTGGTTCATATCTGACCCTTTTGTTATAACATAGGTCACTAACTCATGATAACACAGTAATCACGCCCCGACAGGTACTAACGCAGTTAGTCATGATTATCGATAACCTGATCTAATCAAAACACTTTCTCTCTTAACGCTCTGGATAACACACGACGGGCCTCCCGTATTTTGTTCAGTGTAAATACCGCCAACCGACAAACAAACAAATCTACAATAGACACAACGTTCGATGTTAATTTACAATTAGATACAAAAAATAAAACAATGAATTAAAGTACATCGTACAGCTGTTTTGTCCTTCGAGGACTCGTCATTGATGCTGAGGATCAAAATTGTTGAACACCAGGAGGCGACTGATGGAAATGTAAATATGTAAAACTTAATGTTAAAAACCAGAAGGGGAAGTGCACTAACCACAAAATTAAATCAATTTCAAAATTTTCAAACTATTGAATTTTAAAAAAAACGTCACCTACATGTGTATATTCTTAAGCATATAGATCTTGCCTTCTTAAATATTTTGCCTTAGTTTCATCGAACTTGTATTGTAATTAATATTCTGTTGCCATGCTGGTATTTTCTTTGTTGTTTAAGTACCTCTTGTGTCCTAAATATGTCGGAATAATGTCATTTCTGGTATACCAGTACAATGAGTGGTTTAAACGCAGATAACGAATTCTTAATGTTAAAAAAAATGCAGGTTGATCTATGTCATACCTCTTGAAGTCCAATGAATGATGTTCGAAACTTTAAGATACTCTCCATATGTCCTCCTATTCCCGACCGATTGTATCAAAATAGTACAGTAAAATTATCATATTTCATTGTATGTCGACGATTCAAGTCTCAATGTCCAGATATATACAGAAAGTTGTCTACAGTGTGAGTACATGACAGATTCATGCTTGTGTTCTCCAGATAGACCGTTACTTTGATGTCGGACGGTATTCCAGTCAGTACAAGGGATGTTCTGTGAGGAGTTTGATGTATGAGGACATATCTAAAACATAGACCAATCAGTGACATTTATTTATCTATTCGTTTATCTTTTGATTTATTATGGATAAATATTATGAAAACGATGCAACATTATAACTTCAAATGCAATAAAAATGTTGCAGTTTCAAGAAAAATAATCTATATTTTAAGCTTGTCTTCCATTTCTTAAATCAATGTGTATGAAACAAATGTTTTAATCTTTTGAAATCGTACATAATTTGTGTTAAGTCACAAACAGTACAAAGAAAGTTTCTGAGGAATAAACTGATGGCAGAAAATCATTGATCAAAGGATAAAAATATGTTATGTATATTTCAGGCAGTACAACACAACCGACTGCGAATGTTCCGGGATACTGGGGTAGGTTTCTAGTAAGTCTAGTCTCTCGCGCATCAGCACGTGTGTTCTGTGCTTCATGGGGTAGACGATTCTCTTTCTTCTAACTAAGAACACAAGATAATCACAATATTCCGGTCTCTACCTACTCTCATTGAATTGATGAATACCATATTTTGATTTTTATGCCCCCAAACAGAAAGATCGGGGCATATTGTTTTTGAACTGTTTGGTTTTCTGTTGTCAACTTTAACCTTGCCCGAAACTATTGCACCGTAAGAGGTAGGACTTCCATATTTGGCACGTGCGTTCCTTGTGACTACACCTTTCTGATTGTACAAAAACTGTTTACCATGCTGCTTTGACTGTGACCTTTTACCGACACTTGAAAGTAAAAAAAAAAAAAAAACAATAAAAAATAAAAAAAAAAAAAAATAACCACAATGAAGACGTAAGTATACGCAGTTAGCACATGCCTTACACAGTACAGTGATAATGCCCCACTTCAGAATTTTGTTGCAACCGGGGACATAGTGTTTCACAAACACAAATCTTGCCAACTTTCTTCTTCCTCTGAAAAAACACTTGGTCTTATTTACCTTGTACTATTTCATGGCCTACGTGTAAATTTCATTTTCATATTTTTGCCCGGTTTCGTGGCTTTGAGTTGTAATTAAGATTCTGTTTTCTTTGTTTTATCTAAAATAGATTACCTCGACCAATTCAGAAGATTTCTTATAAAAAGGCGCCTAAATTTGCAAATGATTTCTTGATTTATAGGCTTAGTAATATTTTGTGTGTTGATTTGCTTCGAAAGCCGTTTCTTAATATCATTCATTACAAGGTCACAAGGGTGTAACCTTTCAAAATCTTCAGATTCAGGCAACAAAACATCTTCTTGAATGGACTTTCTCAGTTAAGAAAATAAAAAGTTCGTTAAAATCCACTTTTTTCAGGTGTGATAAAATTTCCAAGTGATAATTACTAATAACTTTGTTATTTCTGCATATATTGTCTCTCGTACCTGGATGAAGTCATGAATGATTATTTTCCTACCATTTTGGTGAAGAACTATCACCATTTGTGATTTGCTACGTTTGTTTACCAATATTCTGTATTCTTTATCAGGGATAAATGGAACCCAGCTGTGCTATTGACCTTTGACCTGTTGTTCCAAGATATGTTGACCGAAACTGAAATTATGACGTCCATTTTGGCACAGACACGTGCGAAGTACTCACGTGGCTATCGTCTGCTGTTTGTTGGAGATTTCCTAATTGATATTACCGCCCACAGTTTGATCACACCTGCCCCGCTAGAACCAGGAGTCGTCGGTTTGTTCTCAAAGATATCATATTTAAATCAGGCCATTTGTCTTAAAATGATTTTACTATGGTAAAATCGCTTTTCAGAATCTTCACTATTACTTAATAAAGTTTAAAGTATAGTAAGATCCTGTTTAATGCAATATTGCATCTATGTACCTGCTTCGTTTAAGAAATATGATTCTTTTTAAAAAAAATTAATCTTAAATTGACTGTGTTTAAATATCAACGAGAATCAGGGACTCTAATTTGTTAACGAGCTGATCACGTTTTGTTAAACACTAATTTCCTTATTTTAGAAGGCACTTACGTTCACGCCAGATTTGGACTATATTCCTTCAACTATACATCTGATCTGAAGGAAGTAAATTCACCAAGATTTCAAGGACTTAATCTGAACTTTTGTGACAATGTAAGTTTATAATGATGTGTCTCTAATGTTGTATGTCGTTTACGTCTAGGTCCATATTTGTAGTGGAAACATTTTGAAAAATAAGACTTGAAAAATTGAATTTCTCTAAATGTCGGCTTTTTTTTTCGTTGTTTCTCATACATGATGCCACTAGTTAAGTGATGTTGGAATTTTCTCTGATTACGATCAGCATTTTTTCATTTATTGTGAAGATAACAAGCCAGTACAAACACTTGTGTTGTTCTGTTTATATTATACACTGTAGTTCGTTAGCTTAACTAACTAGCTTTTATGGGTATTTACCGGTAATTGGACGCGTTGAGATATTTGATAAAATGGAGGCGTAGGTTTATACACAATGCTCTGTAACCCGTTGTTTTTTTATCTAATTAATTTCTCTAGCTTCAATATGGCCAATAGATGATCGATCTGTGGATTTTAATTGTAATATAATTATTTTCAATAAGATTCATATACTGTATATTTGGTTATATTCGTGGGGTATATAATTTCGCTGTATTCGCGGTCATCAGAAATAGAACTTAAATACCCATTTAACGGAGAATCAAGATGAAAGAAAAATCTTTGTAATATACCTGTATACAAGGAGACCAAAGAATAGATTTACGCCAAATTTAATCATCGCGAACATCCTAAACTGGAAACGGGAACAACTACAAAAATATTGACCCGCAAAATTAATTCATTATACAGTATAGTCCTCCTCGTATCTTATTTTGTCGCATATCATTTTCAAAAGGCTGGTAAGCAAGACAATTACAGTAGATCTGTTGGAGAAACTTGTGGTGTATTATTGGAATTCTAAGGAGATCTGTTGGTCTGTTGTTACATATTTACTGACAAATATGCAGTACCAGTGGAATTCAAAATTATCATGGTTTTTTTTTCAGTTAGAAAGATTTTTGGAATATTCGATTATATCAGAGAACCTGGGCGAATGTGGGATATTGACATTCAGGTATGTATTGCGGTTCCATGCTAGTGTAATGTTACGTATAACTAGAACAGCCTTTTCAGCGTAAGGTCTAATGATGACCTTCAAATCAGTTTTTGTCCGCAATCTATCCTTTAATAATTATGTCTCGTCCACGAACGTTATGATAATCGATGTAGTAGCTATACACACTGAGTTTGATCGAACATTCAAGATGTCTGAACCGGCCATTTTGAATTTCGACATTTGGAAATTAAATTTGTAGTCAATGAATTTCCAAGAAAATGTGTCGATGTGATCGGAGTCTGAAAGTTTTAGACAGATGATAGGTATAAACAATTTTATATTTTTATCTCACATTGAGCTTTTTTAGGATACCAAAACTTCTAAGGTTGAAAATAGTAAATAACTGGTATCCTGAAATAATAAATGTGATTAGAATATAAGCTGATCATACTCATCATGTGTCTAAAATTCCGCTACTTATTAACGATTTTGAAATTAGATCACGATTTTGATTATACATATTTGTTAACTAACTGTGCTAGATGCTGAATAAAAGCGTCGTCATCTTTTGTTTTTTCAGAGAATATCCACCCGAAATGGACTTTTACCTGACATTTGCACTTCCGGCTGGAAGTTACATAATTAACAATATAACAATGGTTCTGTCAGATATCGCTCCAGGCACGACTATCAATGGCATCGATATCGCTTTTGTTG